TATGTTTCCACAATGATCCATATGACCGTGGGTGACAATAACAATGTTTACCTATAACAAAGATTGAACCAAAATGAGAAAAACTGCTAGAAATTAACATGGAAATCTCACATTTTCCTTACTAGTGCCAGATTCCGTCAGTTTTTTTAGTACCTCCTCCCCATTCCAGGGATCTCCACAGTCCACGAGGATGTTCACACCATTTGATTGAATTAATGTGACCTCAAAGCAAGGACTGAAGTGATGGCCATCAAAGAAGTATTATTATATATTCAGTTTAGATCCAGCAGTTTAATGCTGTCAACTACACTCAGCTGCTTAGCCCTGTTTTATAGGTGTTCGAAAGTAACCAATATCTCGATAAGACTAGAAGGACAAGAAAACTGACTTTAAAAATGTACTAATGTGGTAGTCCTACCGAGCCTGTCGCCAGGTACTTGCCACCTTCGCGGGCATATCCAACAATCAACTGATCTACTCTCGGTTGTGTCATTGTTCTGAGGTTGCGATAGAGATTTTCTGGTAAGCAAATAGTTTTTCTACCTTGAAACAACGTATTCTTTGATTAAACAAATCCAATCTTGTCAACAATGTAGATACCAGCTATTTATGCACCCATAAAATTCTATAACAACAAAGCGATAAAAATGGCAATAAATTCCTTATGGAGACATGCAACAACAAGAAAATAAGTGAGAAAATGCTACAATCAGAGAAAAAAGTCAAATAGACTCTACCTGACACAACACGCTGGGCAACTGTACCTCAGTTCTGAGTGGAACAATTGAAACAAAGAGTTTTTTTCAGGATTATGAACAGAATCGGAAACCTGTGTCATATGTTGGCAATTTATTTAGGCATTCGAGATAGATGTGCTTTTATAACTTCAGCTATCGCAGCCTATCCACTTGTTTGTCTATGTCACTTCTTAATCGAATGAGATTCTTTGCTCTTTCTTTGTTGACACCATAGATCTTCATTTCAAACAATTTTTCATCAGCCACTTCCTCTGGTAGCTGCAAACAAAGCATAGTGTAGATAAAAAAAAACGCAAACTGTTAAGAAGAGGTATGGATCCTTGAAATATTTCAAATGAAATTACGGATTTTACCTGGTCTATTTCTTCTTTCAAGAGTGTCACAACAGCCCATGACAAGGATAGCAACTTCAGCGACCCAAGTAAAGTTGTAAATGCCTACAATA